AAAGTCATTACAAAATCCCCCTGCATAGGTGGCAGCACTGTTTTTAATACATTCTATGTCTGCTTTTTTCCCATAAGAGAATACGACGTCTGGGGTGTTTGATGCGGCTTATAGAGATGTTCATGGACACAAAAATAGCTTCATGATCACTAATTCCTTGGAGAGGTTCACATCTATCTATAAAGGACGGTCTATTTGAGAAGAAGAGATCAAGTGTCTTCTCTTTCCGTGTTTGGAAGTCTACAATTTGATTAAGACCAAGTTCGTTTTCTATGTTGAGTATGTGTTCCTTTATATACTTAATACATTGATGGCCAGTAATGGAATTTGTAGGCCAAGAAATGTATGGAGAGTTTTAAATCCCCACCTAAGATGTAGTGACGACAAATCTCCTTCACAGCATTAAATAAGTCTAAGGCATATTCTATGGTGCCGCCTGGGGGTCTAAAGGCTGATATGACTATAACTGAGTCTCCTGAGGGGTTATGTATACACCAACACAATACCTCAGAGTCAGATTTAATTTCAACTGGATCACTAGTGAGATTATCTTTATGCGCAATAAAGACTCCACCATACCCATCACTACGATCTCTGCGATAAATTGAATATATTGAATATTGAGGCAGCAGCTCACTGTTGTAGATTGTTGGCCTTAACCAGGTCTCATTTGCAACGACCACGTCAGGGTTGCTGCTTTCTAAGAGATTCCAAAAGCTTTCCTTCTTGGGCATATAGCTTTGCATAATAAGGCACACAAACCGAAGCTGGGAGGGTGTTTCTTTATTGTTTCTAGGTTTTCCTGCTGGGCTAGAAATGTGCAGAGGTTATCCTATTTCTGAATGACTAGAGGTGTTGGAGAGGCTAAGTCACTATGGGAAGTGATCTGTAAGCAAGAAAACCGATTTACAGAGTCTACAACAAAACTATCGAAAAGACTACTTGAAAGGTTAGGAATTCCACATGAACAACATACCCATGAGGTATTCGAATTTTCAAGGGCATGATAAACTAATGTAGGCATGTGCATACAATCCTTGTAATACCATAATGAACAATTGTCACAGGCTACAGCCTTGTGTTTACATGTAACAGCCTTTCCATAGATTTGGCAAGGGTACTATGGCCCTGGGCCTGGGTTTAACTCGGTGTCTGATGCATGGATGATAAGCAGGACAGCAATGTACAGCAAATGTTGTTAATAGAGCTATTGAGCATTAAGTTTTTTACCATTCCTGACTGAGCTATGCAATAGCTCACTAGCAACGGGCTTTGAACTGTAATTATTCACGTTGGCCGTACCACAGTATGTTCTTAGACACAGAGTTGAATATGTACCAAAAATACTTGTCTTGTGGCATATATGGGCTATCACTGGGCTGGTAGACGAAATAGCATAAGACAATCTTACTTGGAAATGTTCGTGAAAACAGCATGGAGAAAGCAAAAAGTCCGAAGACAAAGTCCAAATTCCGTATTCTCTTCATGTTGTTTAGATTGGAAAACGGAAGTGAAAGCGGAAGTTGCGCAATATTTGGGAACTCGACAGTTCGGCACAATGGAATAACTGTTCTATAGTAAAAACTACTCCGATTGTCAGAATTTACACATAAATGGGAACAGCACATCTCCTGTAGACAGAGCAGTCCGTTTTGGTAAGAAGAGAACTACAATTTTTTTTTTTTACAATAAATGGTCGAACTTGAGAGATGGAAACGAAAGACGTCCTGTGTGTCACGCATGCGTCCTATATCGATCAATAAGGATGGTTGTAGAAAGGTAGAATTTTGAGCATCAGAGAAGTTTTACAATAATTTTATATTTTAGAAACTTATTAATATCATTTTTTTTGAAACAATAATAGGCCCAGACATATGTATCAATCCAGGCATCCATTTTTTCTTTGTATCATCTGAACTTAAATGCTTTTAAGCTCTTCCCATATGCATGTTTATACGAATTGTCCTTACGTTTCATTTTTACTCTGCAAATATTTAGTTGTAATGGGATTAATGGCGCTCGTGACCAATAACTTTAATCCACTCTTTTTTGTCTGCATTGAATTTTACAGTCTTCATTCAAATCACTATTAAAAAAACAGACTAAAATAAATAGCTTATTTAACTATTTACTTGGATTTTATATTGTATAGAATAGTAGATTTTTTTTTCGGTGTAGCCTTCACATACCTGCATAATCGAGACTCATCATGTTGAAGATAACAAAAACAACATGTGAATCAAAATTTGAATATTTTTTTTTAATTGTCATATAGCAATTTCCAGTACTTTTCTCTAACACATTGTATTTGATTTATGAAACAGGTGTATGTGTCTTTTATAACAACACACAACTTCAAACAGATAAAAACATAAATTGTAGCCAATCCTCTTTGTGTCCTGGCCGATTTCTGTCCTCAGAAGCCCACCTGTGTAAGTAGTAATAATTTTATCGCCTACAGTCTGTATGTTTTTATCTTTAAAACATGTAGAATAAAAAAATATAATAATAATATAAAGAATAATAATATGTTGTCATTGTAGACGAACCTTGTAAAACCATGGAATTAACATCAACAATTCCATCAAGTAATAAAAATGTAACTTTCGTTCCTGAAGATAAGTCAGAAGTGTATACCACTGTGTTAATGTAAGTACACAAAATTACATATTCCACTTGCATTTCAATTTGCAGTGTATAGAAAAAACATTGATTGATTAAATTGTATTTCATTCAATATTTTAGATTGGTTTCAGCAATATCATTTTTCTGTATTGGATTGGCCATTTTCATCATTAAAAAATGGAAAGAAAGACAGAGAAGGAAAAGCAGAGGTTAGTACATAAATATTCAATAAGAAATGTATTAATCAGATAGAGGTGGGAATCACTGAAGACTTTCCTTAGCTCTTTACAAATAAAGGATGGAAATGGAAATTTATTACACTTTTAAAAAATCATTGAGAATAACATTTTTACGCATTTCTCTTAAGAAAGTGGATGCCTCACAGCAATTTTATTGTTGAAAAAAAAAACAATTTGATTTAAGTGCAAAAGATTAGATAAAATTCAGCAAAAATGCTGCTTACATCAGGAAAAAACGTTATTTTTTTAAACTAAAAGATATATTGTTAATAATATAAAAGTAAGGGTTTTTTTTTTAATTTATAAAAATATACTTGTATCTACATGTGCTTGTTGATTAGAAGATTTAAGGCAATCATGAGTTCTATATTAAGTGTTGGTTATAATTGACAGTGAAATAGGGGAACTGTTATTGGAATTATGAAAAAAATAAATCAGTAAATTGTTACATATCACAACAGAATATTTGTTTTCCGTTAAGGAGTTTTAATTCAAGAGGTTCGTCCTTGCTGCAGTTGAAGTAGACCAAGAGTTTTCCGCAACTTAAGGTTTAAAAAAAACACCATGTGAAATGCTCTGTGTTATGCTACGTTTACACTATGTTTTCGGCAGCCAGGGTAGCCCCGTTTGCCCAAAACGTAGTGCGCCGTGAGATTTTGGTTATTTTCCCCTCTATATCCAAGTTTTGACAAGTTCTTTTGCGGTCTTCTACGGTCTTCTACGGAATCCGTGATGGCCGTAGGAAGAGGTTGCCGTGGAGTGCCGGAGGCTCCACGTGCATGCACGGCGCAATACGGTTCTGCCACGTATACCAGCACGTTCCCCCCAGGCCTCTTACGTTCTGATGGGTCCCCTCTCGTTTCTCGCGTTCTAATGAAGTTCTTATACGTTTCTCACGTTCTGTCAAGTCTTTCTACGTATGAAACATGGACGCCAGGAAACTATGGATCACGTTTGTACCAGAGAAGGTCTCCTAACTAGAAACAATCATTGTATCATGACCCTTCGAAGATAAAACATCATGAATTCCGAAGACGAAGATTTTATTTTCGCGTGTTTGCTGGGTGCATACCTAAAATAACTTCGTCAAAATGAAGAAAACCAGCAGCAGTTACAGAGAGGGAAGGCAGGAGTGCAACAACTAGGAATGAGACGAATAAGACGAATGAAACCTCTCTGCAGTGCCCGGCTTTTATATGCTTCCTTTCAGACCGCGTGCGCCGTGTGAGACCGTAGTAGAACACAACGCACGGGGACCGTAAACCGTAACATACCGGGACTAACTCCTATTGAACGTGAGGAAACGGCTACAATACACCCTACTTTGCCTAAGGACCATGATGAAACGTGGAAGAACGTGATAAAACGGACAACAACCGTGAACTAGCCGTGACAGAACGCGGACTAAACTCAGTAGAACGACTCAAAACGTGAATGGACCGTGAGATGAGTGGAAATATACATTCTCCCGTTCCACTGCGGCCTGCCTCCAAGTTCTGGTACGGTCTATTACGTGCTGTCGCGTTTTGTTGCGTTTATTCCGTTTTACTACGACCTTCTACGTTTCACATCTGCAACTTGCCCGCCGTGACAAATTTTTTGACAGTCTAAAAATCTGGCACGGCATCCACGGCAGTCGCGATGAGTTACGTTTGCCCATCCCGTTGCCCCAAGTTTTCTCACGCCCGTCCCGTTTTTTCCACGGTGGCCTGAAACGTTATTGCCGTGGATGCCGGAAACTTAGTGTAAACGTAGCATTACACCGAGTATAATGTGTTGCACGGTGTGCGTGGATTTGAAATATACCGGTTCGTAAACCGTGCCTCGCCGTATCTAGAAAAAACTCAGCTAAAGTCCTCGCAGAAGGATAAAACGTACGCTCAACTAGGACCTTAGGTCCCCCGCTCAGTTTACGACTATCGGACCTGTTTACTCCGCTACAAAATGTAAAGTAAAGTGAAAATAGAAAAAAATCGTCTTACTGTGAAGCCTTTACAGTGTTAAAACCCCCAGGAAAATTTATTTTTGTCAAAGAAATAACCATCTAATGGTTATTAGAAAAGATGGGGGAGGGGGTGCTGAGCAAATTTAACTGCAATATTATAAGATATATATGATATACAAGAGTTGAACACTTATGGATTATGTTGGGTGATCTGTGGTCTCCTCTATGATCTTATTATTCCATGTAAGGTTATAGTATCTATATACGCAGTGCCTTAGTTAACATCTGATCGCCTTACTAATAGTAAGCGACTCAGAGTTAACGACGTCCAGTCTCTGCAACAGCAGATTTCTAACAAGCACGGGTAAAATGAAGATTTTGCCCCCTACCTCTTCATTTTGGTTGGACTTTTCAACAATCCTTAAACATAATGGAATAATAAATTGCAAATAAATTATTTAAACTTTCCTTTGTCTTCCTAATAAGAGGTCATGCTTCAATAGACCTCATCACTTCAACACTTTGTAGCAAACCCATGATTTTATTTATCTTACAACGAAGATGTACACACTGTATTGCGAAGTTTGGAGCTGCATGGAGTTCTCCACCACCCCACCCCCCATCCTTAGAATTATACATATCAAATTCATAGATCACTCAAAACTACATTATATTAAAAAAATATAAAACTTTAAAAAAATATTTATATATTGCACATACGTAGGTGGACCAGACGTCACCTTATATTAAACATCTAGAGGACACCTTATATTGTGCATCAGTAGGAGGGGCGGGCAGAGGACAATTTATATTGTACATCAGTAACGGGACCAAAGGTCACCTTTAATTGAACATCTGTAGGGAGACCTGGGATCATTTTATATTTTACATCAGTAGGAGAAATCAGTAGGGGGACCAGAGGTCATCCTATATTGTACATCAGTTGGGGAACTAGAGGATTTTTTATATTGTACATCAGTAGGGGGGCAGAGGTCAACTTAAATTGTACATCAATAGTGGGACAAGAGGTCACGTTATATTGTACATCTGTAGGAGACATCAGTAGGGAGACCAGAGGTCATCTTATATTGTACATCAGTAGGGGGACCAGAGGTCATCTTATATTGTACATCAGTAGTGGGACAAGAGTTCACCTTATATTGTACATCAATGGTGGGACCAGATGTCACTTTTATTACACATCAGTAGTAAACATCAATGTGGAGATCAGAGGTCATGTTATATTAAACAACAGATGGGGAACTAGAGGACAACTTATATTGTACATCAGTAGGGTGGCTGAGGTCAGCTTACAATCTACATCAGTACTGGGACCAGAGATCACTTTATATTGTACATCTTTAGGGAGACCAGAGGTCACTTTATATTAAACATCATTAGGAGACATCAGTAGGGAATCAGAGGTAACCTAATATTGTACATCTGTAGGAGGACCATGGGACACCTTATATTGTACATCAGTAGGCAGGGGGGCAGAGGTCAACTTATATTGTACATCAGTAGTGGGACGAAAGGTCACCTTATATTGTACATCTGTAGGAAAACCAGATGTCACTTTATATTATACATCAGTAGGAGACATCAGTAGGGGGACCAGAGGTCATCCTATATTATACATTAGTAGGGGAACTAGAGGAGACCTTATATTAAACATCAGTAGGGGGCAGAGGTCAACTTACATTGTAATCATAACTGGAACCAGAGCTCAAATTATAATGTACAACAGTAGGGGACCAGGGGTCACCTTATATTGTACAGCTCTAGGGAAACCAGAGGTCACTTTATATCATACATCAGTGTGCGTGGATTTGATATATACCGGTTCGTAAACCGTGCCTCGCCGTATCTAGAAAAAACTCAGCTAAAGTCCTCGCAGAAGGATAAAACGTACGCTCAACTAGGACCTTAGGTCCCCCGCTCAGTTTACGACTATCGGACCTGTTTACTCCGCTACAAAATGTAAAGTAAAGTGAAAATAGAAAAAAAAATCGTCTTACTGTGAAGCCTTTACAGTGTTAAAACCCCCCAGAAAATTTATTTTTGTCAAAGAAATTACCATCTGATGGTTATTAGAAAAGATGGGGGAGGGGGTGCTGAGCAAATTTAACTGCAATATTATAAGATATATATGATATACAAGAGTTGAACACTTATGGATTATGTTGGGTGATCTGTGGTCTCCTCTATGATCTTATTATTCCATGTAAGGTTATATTATCTATATACGCAGTGCCTTAGTTAACATCTGATCGCCTTACTAATAGTAAGCGACTCAGAGTTAACGACGTCCAGTCTCTGCAACAGCAGATTTCTAACAAGCACGGGTAAAATGAAGATTTTGCCCCCTACCTCTTCATTTTGGTTGGACTTTTCAACAATCCTTAAACATAATGGAATAATAAATTGCAAATAAATTATTTAAACTTTCCTTTGTCTTCCTAATAAGAGGTCATGCTTCAATAGACCTCATCACTTCAACACTTTGTAGCAAACCCATGATTTTATTTATCTTACAACGAAGATGTACACACTGTATTGCGAAGTTTGGAGCTGCATGGAGTTCTCCACCACCCCACCCCCCATCCTTAGAATTATACATATCAAATTCATAGATCACTCAAAACTACATTATATTAAAAAAATATAAAACTTTAAAAAAATATTTATATATTGCACATACGTAGGTGGACCAGACGTCACCTTATATTAAACATCTAGAGGACACCTTATATTGTGCATCAGTAGGAGGGGCGGGCAGAGGACAATTTATATTGTACATCAGTAACGGGACCAAAGGTCACCTTTAATTGAACATCTGTAGGGAGACCTGGGATCATTTTATATTTTACATCAGTAGGAAAAATCAGTAGGGGGACCAGAGGTCATCCTATATTGTACATCAGTTGGGGAACTAGAGGATTTTTTATATTGTACATCAGTAGGGGGGCAGAGGTCAACTTAAATTGTACATCAATAGTGGGACAAGAGGTCACGTTATATTGTA